CCCCTCTCCCTGAGGCCCCGCCTCCTCCACACTGAACCCCGCCCCTCTCCATCTGAAGCCCCGCCTCCTACAGAGCCCCGCCCCTCACCCTCCGAGGCCCGGGGCAGCTCCAGGCGCCGGGCAGCCTGGCGCAGCATGTATGTCAGGTAGATATCTCGCTCAGAGACAATGGTCCGGTGCAGGTCGGGGAACTCCCCGATCATCTCAGCCATCATCTGCTCCAGCAAGTCCTTCTGCTTGCACTTCTCCACGTCGTCCTTGCTGGAGGGGGAGGGGGTGCGCAGAGCAGTCATTGAGATAACGATAGAGGGATGCCAGGGTCTGGTTGGAGCTAGGGGTGTGGACCTCGGTCAGGCAGGAGGAAGGGGACTGGACAAGGACAGCGCGAGGCCATCCAGGCCATACCTGATGGGGTCTGACAGGAAGCAGAGGCCCCAGGCCAGCTTGACCTTCTGCCAGAAGGACAGTGCTGCAATGGCCCGCTTGAAGGTGACAGGGATGGGCCGGTCACCCAGGTGGAACTTGCAGAAAGGCACCTTGCTGGCCTGGGAAGGAAGCCGATGCCAGAGTCACTCTGAGTCCAGGCTGGCCCTGTCCCACCCATCCCCCACAGGCTGGCCCACCCACCTCCTTGAAGGCCTCTCGGAACTCTCCGCCGGGAGCCATGCCCAGCTGCTCCGTAATGTGGGCGGACACCTTCAGCAGAAGCATCTGCATGAGTCCAGACATGACCCCGTTCTGCAGGGCGCGGTCAGTCAGCAGGTGGTCCCAGGACCCATGTCACCACAATGCCAGCTCCTGGGTCAGGGCACTGTGACCCACCCATATGGCCCTGCATGGCCCTATGAACCCCAAACCCCAGGCAGCCAGAGAAGGGGAAGAGGCACAGGTGGATGGAGAAGCTGGGGGAGGGTAGCAAGAACACCTGTTCCTGTGTACCACTCACCCTGCCCCCACACACGGGTGCTCTTCTTTCTCTCCAGAGCTGGGCCTAGCCCCCCATGAACCAGGCTGACCCCTCCCAGAGGCATCCCCTCCAGCCAGCACCCCCATGGAGACAGACTCCCCTTCAGGAATGACTCCTTGGAGGTGGTCCATCCTAGGCCTGACACCCCTGCACAGCTGAACCTGGCACCTCCCACAGAGCCAGCCTGACCCCTCCTAATAGAGCTGAACCGTCATCCTCCATGGAGCCAGGCTGACCCCCCAACAGAGCTGAGCCCGTCACCCCCTACAGAACCAGGCTGTTCCCCCAACAGAGCTCAGCCTGTCGCCCCCTACAGAACCAGGCAGATCCCCAATAGAGCTGAGCCCGTCACCTCCTACAGAACCAGGCTGACCCCCCAACAAAGCTCAGCCCGTCACCCCCTACAGAACCAGGCAGATCCCCAATAGAGCTGAGCCCGTCACCCCCTACAGAACCAGGCTGTTCCCCCAACAGAGCTGAGCCCGTCACCCCCTACAGAACCAGGCTGTTCCCCCAACAAAGCTCAGCCCGTCACCCCCTACAGAACCAGGCAGATCCCCAATAGAGCTCAGCCCGTCACCCCCTACAGAACCAGGCAGATCCCCAATAGAGCTC